TGATCAGATTATGTGGGAAGCCTTTATTCTTTTTCTTGGAAGCAGATTACTCATTTTCCAAGTTTGGTGTAAAACAGTCTCCCAGGCAAAATGCCATTCAAGATGGTTTCTCACCTGCAGAACTATCATCAGATTTTACTCTTTAAAAATAACAAATTTGGTAGACGTTGCATGAGAACGCTCCCAGCATCTGCCCACTCACCAGTGAAACTTTGGCTCAACGTTGCGGAATTACACAATGTTATTTGCGTCATTGGTCATGCCTCCCAAATTCAAGAAATAAGTCTACATATCCAGAATAAGACAACAATTACATGTACATGTATCACAACTGTTTAAACAGGTGTACAGTCAGTTTTAGTTGAAATGGATTGTTTCAAATGAAGTATTTGAATAGATAATCCAACAGTTGTGCATGATTGCCAACAGACTTGAAACTGCAGTACTCAGACACTGATCCTTTGTGGTTTTGTGGCCAAATTCTCTTTTAGTTTAACATAGAATGTTACCATGGTAACTGCACAGTGTTGGGTCTCTTCAGGCTCAGCAAGTTTCTTATTAACAGGAAAACAGTCGCCGTGCCATTTACAGTTCAAATAACCAAGGGCCATTAGTGTGAACACAACCTCATTTTGTTAGCCAATTCCCGCTGTCAGTTTTACGATGATCGTCTGGAATTTTAATTTTGCCGCTTGATAGGAAGGCTTTTTGGGGTTGCCGTGACAATGCCAGTGCGGGAGGCAATGTCCAGGACATTTCAGTCCTGAGCTACATATGCCAGGCAGATATTTGATTAAATGCAATAAGCATGATAAGTAGGAATGGTGAAATTCCAATCAGGTGTGTACAGATTGTTCTTCCGACATGTATCAACTGAGGCCTGCCCACATACATGTACCGATAGCCCCTTCCTCCATCCCCAGCCCTGAGGCACGTCAGTCTGTAGCCAAGAAATGCAATTGACTTCATTACAGTACTCCAGCGCACTGCGATGTATGCACACATCCATTTACAGATGTAGAAATATACAAAAACCTGAACATGGGAAGTAATTTGGTCTTATCCGATAATCTAACCTTCTCATTTTCTGCAGAATATACATGTATATAATACAAAACTGCTGCAAACTGCTTGCTGATTAGTGACCTAAAATACAAATCACAAAATGTGGAGGGCCTGACGTTTCGATCGTAGTACATGTAGCATACCGGTAGGCAGAGAAAGATTCTGCTAGGATCGAAACGTCAAGCCCTCCTTATTTTGGAATTTCTGCAGACCTTCGTTGGACCAGGTAGGCACAAACAATAAGACCTTTGTTTGTTCCAGCTGCCTACATGCACAGATTCTGTGCGCTTGACTACAAGTTTCTCATTGATCAAACAGTACACTTCATTTGTCACTTGTATTTCACCTGTGCAGGTTGTTGAATTGTAACATGGACCTTGTACCTACTTGGGAATGCATTTTGAATGGATTTAAGGCCTGCTCGTGCGGCCTCGCTATTGTAGCAACCTGAGATTTATATTAACCCTAACTGCCAAGGCTCTTTTGGCTAGGATGCACCCTCAATCCTTCAAAATTGTCAAACTGCCCCCATGAAAAAATTGTGTACACCCTCAGCCCTGCAAAATCCTCTGATATTTCTTGAATATGTTCTGTAGGAAGGGGTGCCTACTGCCTCAAGCCTTCAAAATCTTTGAGCAATTTCTCTCATTAATGATTATGTTAAGGCAGTGTGAATGGTGTCCTGGAGCGTTGTGGATGATTTCACATAATGTGGGCATAAATTTATGCATTGCTGACCATAAACAACACAACGTCTAACCTGTGCCCGCAACCTTGAGACAATGCATCCTTTTACAATCAGCAATGCTGTTTT